ACTCAGGATCCTCCTAACAGCAGAAGTCAAATGAGCAGGCACTCTTATATCGCTTTAGTTTCCTCCCAAGGTTTTTTAGCAGTAGGGATACATGCCAAGGGGAGGAATCCCATGTTCAACATCGACACAAACAATGTAAACTGCTGCTAGATATGAACTTAAAAACTCCTAGCTCATATGAATTTTCTTTATGCTCATTCTGTCTGTGTTAGTTTAGCTAGGATATTAATTTGCAAAAAAGAAAAGAAAAAAAAAAGAAGAAAGAATATATGACAGTGCTAGGTCACAAATTGGTCTCCACATTTGTGTACTTTTCTTTCTAAACCAGAAAACGGTTCCCACACACACACGTAGCATAAGCATACCTGCAAGTCATATGCAAAGTCCCTGAAACTCTGACTCTCTGGCAGTAACAACCACGCTGTTGTTTTCTTCAAGAAACGGCCACTGCTATGTGCTGTGCAGAGAAACAAGGCTGCTGGGCCCAGTGACAAAACTTAGGAACAGTTGAAAGTACTTCCAGGAACCTGCTCCCGGCATCAATCAATGTAGGCCATGCAAGTACCTAACGCAGATTCATCACGCATCCTGTGCCTCCAAAGTTGGTGCAATATCGCACATCCCCTTTGACCTGATCGGCATCCATGCACGTGTGTTAGCTAGGGAAATAAGCCCCAGGCTGTACAGAAGGCAACATGTCACACACGTTCTCTCGCCTTGGCCATTAGATGAGCCATCGAAAAGTTTCAGTAAGGTGAGAAAAGTCACCTAATTCAGCATGATTCTACGATAAGACACAACAATAATGTCCTAATGATCTTAGACATTACCCTTCATCTAGAAAACCTGTATTTCTTTTAAGGCACCACGCTGCTGTAGCGGCATACTTTTATCCACAAAGGCGTGGGATACGAATCCCTGTTCCCATGATGACCAATATAAAAAAACATCCCTGCATACAGTGTTAGCGTTAATCAATACCTTCTTACCTGTAACGATACTTATGTATAACAAAAGTACCGGTATTAATTAGGAAGCAAACCTCTCGCTTTTGGTTACGCCATTTTGTGTACTTTGGCAGCTTGGTTTCACATATGATATATGATGTATTGCCATGTGTATGGAGAGGTTCCTAGAGACTTACGGTTTGTTAGGGGTGGGCCTACCGTGATACAGAAGGTTAAAGTGAGACATCAGACCGATTACTGATCTATTGTAAGATTGTACATGCCTTGGTAAGGTAATTCAAACCAGTCACTGTAACATTCCGATTCAATCACTGTAACATTCCAACTCACGAAGGGTGAAACTAAAAAAAAGGCAGCCTGGTGCACATAGCTCCCGTTTACGCAGGGTCCGGGGAAGGGTCCGATCACTTCGGGTCTTTTGTACGCAGCATTTCCCTACATTTCTGCAAGAGGCTGTTTTCAAGATTCGAACCCGTGACCTCATGGTCACAAGGCAACAGCTTTACCTCCAAGGCATGGTCACGAAGGGTGAAATTACATGATCACAAATTTATGTGATTAGTTCACAAAGCTATTGTGTATGGATATGTTTGTTGAAGACATTCTGTACTCGCAACTTTGCAGAACTTTCATAGGAATGGTTGTTCTTCAAGTGGTGATGGCAATATTGATGTTTCATCAGTGTTACAGTGTGCATTTGTATTTGACTCGTCGATAAAATATTTACTGAGTTTAAACTTTTCTAAGAATCTCCATCTACACTTGTCTACCAAATCACCAAAGCTTAAAGTTTGAGTAACTACAACACTAGAAATGAAGACCGAAACATGACATAGGGCATATCACCTTTGGAAGAAAATCAGATGATTTAAACCTTTGGAGTTACTCCCTCCATTCCTAAATATAAGTCGAGATTCCAATATAGACTACATACAGAGTAAAATGAGTGAATCTACACTCTAAAGTAGGTGAGGTCTATATACATCCGTATGTAGTTTGTATTGAAATCTCTAAAAGGACTTATATTTCGGAACGGAGGGAGTACTTGATAGAAGAGTTATTGTCGAAGCAGTTGACAATGCCTGGTAGCTCACTTATTTTATACGCATCGTCTAACAACCCAGCTGCCCTGCAGCATCTCACAGTTCTTTCCCAGAAACCACCCTTCTTTCTCTTCCCTACATGCGCCTCATCCTCCTACTATATAAACCACCCCATTCTGCACCTCATAACCCACAAGAAGAGAAGTAGAAACAAACAAATAACAAGTCTCTTCTATTACTTGTAACAAAGTGCAGCTAAGGACACTTACATGGCGACTTCCATGAGTTGCCTGCTGGTGCTATGCCTTGTCTGTCCCCTCCTTGCTGGTGTCGTACGTGCCAACCCATGGTACGGCTTGTTCCCACAGTTTTACGATCACTCTTGCCCGAAGGCAAAGGAGATTGTGCAATCCATCGTGGCGCAGGCTGTTGCCCAGGAGACCAGGATGGCAGCATCCTTGGTCAGGCTGCATTTCCATGACTGCTTTGTCAAGGTCTCCGTTTCATCTTTCCTGTAGTATCCTTTACATTTTTCTACACCGCTACAATGATACTTGCTGAACATGGTTCCTGCAATGTAGTACAGAAAATTACTATTTCATTGTGAGTCTGTGACTAATAGTAATAGGATAAGCTATGCATTTTATTTCTAATCTTACAGCAGTTCCAATGCTCAACTAAATGCCTAAAGTGTTATTTTTGCTATATTTGTCCTTCATATGGGGAACCTTGTCCTCAGGAACATGGAAGAATCTGTAGTTCCTAGGCTAAACTTTTAGTTTTACCAATGATAAGATAGCCTGCCTACAATGCCATACGACCACTACTTATTGTCTTGATGACATGATCGAGTCCGTACCATGATTGCTTTTCCCTGAAAAGATGGCGATTGCTTAATTCAAGTGCACAATAATTGGCACTCTCCATGCAATGCTCATCCTTCACAAAATGCATGTACCTGATCCAATGAAACTACTATTTCATTGCATGTGCCGAATCTGTGTAGTACCAGCAACTTTTTCTGACTTTTTTTTCCTTCTGTGCATAGGGGTGCGACGCATCCGTGCTACTGGACAACAGCAGCAGCATAGTCAGCGAGAAGGGGTCCAACCCCAATCTGAACTCCCTCCGGGGGTTCGAGGTCGTCGACCAGATCAAGGTCGCCCTTGAGACAGCCTGCCCCGGTACTGTCTCCTGCGCCGATATCCTCGCCCTCGCCGCCCGTGACTCTACTGTCCTTGTATGTGCACACCAAAACTAATTCTTTCCCAGATAGCACGAGTTAAACAATGCAGCCAGTATTAGTGATTCTTTGGGACCCAAATCAACCTGCAGGTTGGTGGCCCTTACTGGGACGTGCCACTCGGCCGCAGGGACTCTCTGGGTGCAAGCATCCAGGGATCAAACAATGACATCCCTGCCCCCAACAACACCCTACCCACCATCATCACCAAGTTCAATCGCCTCGGTCTCAACATCGTCGATGTCGTCGCCCTCTCAGGTGGCCACACCATCGGCTTGTCCCGCTGCACCAGCTTCCGGCAGAGGCTGTACAACCAGTCGGACAACGGCCTGGCCGACAGCACACTGGATATGTCCTACGCTGCGCAACTAAGGCAGGGGTGCCCCCGCTCCGGTGGCGACAACAATCTCTTCCCACTCGACGTCGTCAGCTCGACCAAGTTTGACAACTTCTACTTCAAGAACATCCTTGCCGGTAGGGGTCTCCTCAGCTCTGACGAGGTCCTGCTTACCAAGAGCGCGGAAACAGCAGCACTTGTGAAGGCGTACGCGAATGATGTGCATCTCTTCTTCCAGCACTTTGCACAGTCAATGGTGAACATGGGCAACATCATGCCACTGACCGGGTCACAGGGGGAGATCAGGAAAGACTGCAGGAGGCTCAACAACTATCACTGAGTTGCTGAAGCTCCTGTAAGTGCTGAATTGTGTGTGAAGTTGGTGCCATATTTTGTTTGAATAAGCAAGTGTGGTTGTAATTTTCGAAATCGCTTGATCATTTGTGTCATGTAATTGCATTATGAAATGTGTGTAATAATAATTCAATATATAAGATGAGTTCACTTGTTTGCTAAGCTGGTTATTTGACATAACTTACCAAGTTCTGACTTCCAAATTTCACTCATGGTACACATCCACCTATTGTTCAACAGCTCTCGTGGTACTCCAGCTGTGCTGACTTCAAGATTTATCATCTGTCAAAATAAAATGGATCAAAAAGAATTAGTCTTTCAAGATACATATAAATTATTGATTCAATCTTGTTATGCCTCCAAGAAATATCTCGGACGGTTATGGAACCACTAAAACTAAATATGACTTGACCAAGTTTGCGCTGATGACCACTAGGATACACCACATCGTATTGCTGTGCCATACTAGGTTCATAAAACAAGTAAACCTCCTAATTTCTAAATGAAGAAAATCAGGTACATGTGATTCTTTTCAGCACAAGTTGTGCAGCTGTGTTATCTTTTGATGACAGCTGGAGAAAGCAGGATGCCAATCAAATTGGAACAAGAGCAAGTGAGGAGAAGTGCCCAAAAAAGAGGAGTCCAGTCACCTGCCTTGCTCATCGGAAGAGCAAGCAAGGAATTATCACACAGTAAACTAGTCGTGCCAAGTTTCACCATAGTAATCAGAGATGCAAATCATGATTGCAAAAATAAATTCAAGGATCTGTGATGTTGATATTTCATCAAACAGATAGGTATAGGGCAACTTGCATTGCAAACCCTCAGTTCATGCTTTCATACTACACTAGTACTGTTAGAACTCATGGACGAGAGGTGTAATCATTACCGCACAGGATACTTGGTTCCAGCAGAGAGGAATTTATTTGTAGGCTCTGTGCTTGAAGTCACTAATTAGCTGAGAACCACCAGCTCAACATCCAGAGAAGCTGGGAGCAAACTAAGGCATTTCATAAACTGGTTGCTTCAGGGAATTAGTTTTTTGAGCTTCTTGTGTCAGGGTTCACGATATTTCTTTACAACACCCAAAATGACACGTAGGTTTCTTGAAAATCATTTTTTAATCATGTTTATCTGAAACCAGTAAGTTCCCAGATAGTTGTGGCTAACCTCACCCAATTGAATTAGAAGTTTTTTGAAAGAGTAAAAACCATCTAATAAACGGCCGCATAAATCTAAGTATAGAGCAAGGGTGATTGTGTTCAGTTGATATGTACAAGGTGCCATTTCCAGAAATTTGTAGAGGGGCAAATGGAAAGGCAGACTAGCCGCTTTAACATGTATTTACAGAATCTGTATGTGAAGCAGGAGACAAGTGCATCATTACATTGTCAAAGATTTCGAAGGAAATATATCCGAATAGGGCTAGAAAGTGAAAATAACAAGACAATGAGGGAACAAAGAGCATATAGTTAAACTAATTACCCGCAGGTCCATTGCTCTTACAAGCTTTCTATTTGCACCATTTTCTCTCGCGTGGTGTTATTTTATCACCAAGCCCTGGTAGCTCTACTAGTAGTTTACTACCCTCAGTTGATCTGATTAGTCGTTTAAGTGCATTTCTTGCGCAAAGAACTGCCACTGGTTTCCTCCTTTCTCATGCCCTCCCAGTGTACAAGATCTTCTGTTGCCAACTGCCAGGATGGTCAATGATGTCAACAAATATTTGCTTCACCTACAAAACACAGAATGCATATTAACAAAATTCTCAAGGATGCATTATGAAGCCTCGGTTATATCTGCAAGAACATGGTGTACTTACGAGAGTAGCTTTGCTTACAGAAGATGATACAATGGGCCAGAAGAACTTCCCTAACAGATTGCACCGGTCACCAAACTTAACCAGAATTCTGAATCATTGCTTCAATTGCCTTATTGGCCTTAACCAGCTCCCCTTTTGAGCAAAGGGAAGCAATAGCAGGATAATATGTGTCAAAGTCGTCATAGAAAGACTTCCCTAGCAAATTGCCATTGTCAATATCAGTATTATCAGTTGTTGTGCATAAACTATCAGTTCTCTCTGTCATGGGTTGCAATGTGCCTCGGGAACTTCCGTGGAGGCAATTGCTAGAAACATCAAAATCGGCTGAACTTAGAACTTGTTCTGAATCTGTTCTAGGATCACAAGCATCATCAGTTCTCTTCAGCTTCTTGAACTGACCAAGTGTATTAGAAATATTAGAATCTGAAGAGGATACAGACATGAGTCTCACCTCACTTAGGATAGTCACAACCTCATCGATCTTCCCTTCCTCACATGCAGAAGACAGAAGAGCAACAAGAGATTCTGTTTCAACCTCATATCCTACGTTGTTTATTAGCTCAACAACTTGTTTGGACTGAAACATCTCCCTCAAGATGCCCCTGGACTCTTCCATCCTTCCTTTTGCATAGAGCCCTTTGACCAGGCTCATAAATCCAACAAAATCTGGGACCATCTCCTTACAATGGTATTCATTAAAGAAGCCTAATGCAGCTTCAGTGTCACCTTTCATACAATGCCCACTAATAACTGCACCAAGTGTAAAAGCATCCGGATGTAGACAAAGCTTCTCAAAATGAGACATAAGCTCAAGCGCTTTTTCAGCTAAACCATAGTTACAGTAACCAGTTATCAGCATGTTGTAAACACGGGTAGTGGGTCTGATACCTTTGCTGGACATTTTCTGAAACAATTCATATGCATCATCTAAGAAACCTTCTCTGCACAAAGCACATATAAGTATAGTGTAAGTTATCATTGTTGGAGGAATGTTGCTTCTTTCTAAGTAATCAAAGAGCCTGAATGCTTCAGTAAAGCATCCGTGCTGGCACAAACCACTGAGAACAGAGTTGTGGATGATAATGGTTGGATGAATCCCTTCTATTTTCATGCTTTCACACAAGTCTAATGCCTTCTCAAGATAACCACCTTTGCAAAGGCCCTCCACTACTATAGAGTACATGGCAAGATCCACAGAAAACCCACTTTGTTCAGCTTCCTTGAGAAAATTATATGCATCCATAATTTCACCTTCTTTCTTTAGTGCAAAGACAGCTCCTCTTAGAACACTGATAGGAATGCTGCCGCTGTTCATGTTACTTGAAAACCGAATAGCTTCACCAACACCCTTCTTGCTGAGGTGACAAGACAGCATATTAATCATTCTAGGTTCATGCAGGCCATGAATCTTAATGAAGTCACTTAACAATGGTTCTATGACCTGTTCATTTCCATTGCGGAGTAAGCTCTTGAGTAGCCTGTAGAATGTTTTGCTTGATACAGCAAAGGCTTGTGTTCTGAGTATCTTGTAAACATATAATGCTGCCTGGCAACAATCCCTGCTGCTTAAGAAATCAGAAGCATAATTGCAAACAGATGAAAACAAGTCCATTTCTAGTTCTTCCATCTTATGAATGAAATTTAGCACACCTTGTTCGCCACCTTCTTTGAAATTTGCATGAATCAACTTCCTGTAAGTACAGGAATCAGGCCTTAGTTTTTTATGAATGAGATCATAGAACACTTGATCAGCAATGGTGACCTTTCCTCCATTACATAGTGCTCCGATCAGGCCATTGTGAACAACAGTACTGGAGAATGATGTATCTTTCCTGTACTCATCAAACAACTCAACTGCCCTGTCAAAATCCCCAAGTTTACACATCATGTTTATGAGTGTATGATAGGTGACGGTATTAGGGCTTAAGCCCATATCACGCATTCTATGAAACAAGCTGCAGGCATCATCCACCTTGTTGATCACAAATAATGCTTTGATAAGTACATTGCATGTGACAACGTCAAGTGCAATCCCACTACTCTCAAGCCTAGCCTTTATCGCCACAACACCGGTCGTATCCTCTTGCTTAATGTAACCGTGTAACAGCGTGCTATATGTGAAATTATCAGCAGTAACACCTTCAGACATTTCCACGGCCTTGGTAGTTTCACCAGCCTTACACAAACCATTTATTACTGCATTGTATGTCACTGTCCCAGCTTTTACCCCCTTGCCCTCCATCTCTCCAAGCAAAGAGATAGCCTTATCCAAATCCCCCCTTTTGCACAAACTATCGATTAAAATTGAATATACATACTCATCCACCACTACACCTGTCTGTTCAAGTTTCCTCACTATGGAAAAGGCATCCGCTAGCCTATTCCTCTTGCAGAAACCACCAACAAGTGATGTATAAGTGATCAAATTCGGCTTAGCACCCCGTCGCTCCATCTCATCTATGAACCCCTTCACTTTCTCCACGCTACCTTCTCTACACATCCCATCAATAACAATAGTGTAATTAACCACATCAGCTGCAACACCCTTGTCTAACATCAGCCGATGCTCCCGGAACCCTTCCATCAACAGGCCACTGCTCATGTATCCATGAACCAAGCTGCTATAGAACATCGCATCACCCACCATATCCTTCTGTTCCATCTCCCTTATCAGCTCAGCCACGTCACCAATTCTCCCCTGCCTCCCAAGCAAATTCACAACCGCAGTCAGTGTCACCAGGCCTGGCTCAAACCCTCTGACCTCCTTCCTCACTCTATCGTAGAACTCCAAGCCGGCCTCGACCTTGCTGGCCTTGGAGAAGCCAGAAATGATCACACTACAAACACGGTCGTCCACCTGACACCCCCTCGCTGTCATTATATCGAACACCTTGAGCGCCCCGGCCATGTCCCCACGCGCACACAACTCCGATATAATCACACCATAGGTGGACGGGGAAAGGACAGCTCCGTGATCCTCTACACCAGCGGAGAGCAGCTCCAGCGCAAGGCGAGGGTTGCCACGCTGGGCGCAGGCCCGGCGGAGCAGCGCGTCCCAGAGGCGACGGGATGAGGGGGGCGGCCCGGCGAGAGCGAGACGCCGAGCGGCGTCATGGGGGAGGTCGGAGTCGAGCAGCGCGGAGGCGGCAAGGAGGTGGGTGCGGGCGGTGGGGCGCAGGGAGTTGGCGAGCGCCTGAGAGGCGAGGGCGCCGACGAGACGATGCCTGCGGCGGCGGAGGAGCGCGGCGAGAATTCGGTCCACATGCTGCTCGGTGATCGCGCGTCCGAGCTTAACGAGCGTCGGCAACGGTAGCGGTGGGGGTTCGCCGCCGGGGAAGCCCATGGCGGTCGGCGGTTGGCTGCCGCCGCGGTGTGAGTGCGAGTGGGGGGGAGGAGAGGAACGTTCAAGCGCCGCAGTGAAGCGGCATTTGGCGGTGTCGTTAGGGCTGGGCTGTATCCGAGCTCACTTGTATTTGAGACATGGTATAGGCCCATGAGCTTGGTTTACCAGATCTCTTTGGGCCTCATTTTCCAACAATGGGCCGACTCTAAGTAAATGGCCACAAAGTTTAGCCAGTCCACCATGAGACAACTCCCGCATCTACTCGAGCAGAGGAGGAATTATGATGCAGCAGTCGCAGGCGACGGTGGCGGTGGCCGCACCGGCGGCGGCGGCGCGCGCGCACGAGCCAGCGGGCGGCGACGCGCCGCCGAAGCAGGTGGCGCAGGCGATGGAGCGGCTGGGCCGCGCGGGCAGGATCATCGCGGACATCCGGCTCGGCGCGGACCGCCTCCTCGAGGCGCTCTTCGTCGCCGCCAGCGCGCCGCCGGACAGCGCCCAGCAGCACATCGAGAGGAACGAGGAAGTCGTAGCTAAGGAGGAGGTCTCCATGCACCGCCACTTCGACGACCTCCGCGCCCTCGGCAGGTACTCGACTCCGCCCGCGCCCACTTTCTTCCATCTTGATCTGGGAGCTTCTTGTGAGCTCCCTTGGGTGGTTGTATCGTTTGGTTTGGGAAACAAGTTTCCGCTGGGATGGTTCCTGAAGCGTGTGGACAACAGCCACTATCCCATGTTCTGCCGGTATGCCTAGGGGAGACCGTATGCCTATGCCCTAAATCTAAGTCAGGACATTGTTGAGATAGTGGATATTAGTAGTACATGTTTAGATTATGTTGGGGAAATTGGTGCCCGTGATTCTGGCTAAGCTAATTTGAGTTGCGTAGCTGACTTTGCAAGAAAATTGTAACTCTTGAGGTAATTTGGTTAGACAGAGTTACTGTCAGCTAGATTCTGATCTTCTTTTGTTCTGCTTGGCCTAGTTTGTCATCAACAAGGAACATATTTCGTGTAAAATATCCATGAGAAAATTTGATAGCTTCGAACAAATGTATTGAGAGGTTTAAAATGAGATTGCGCTCTGATTTTGACAGAATCTCAGTAATGTTCCTTGCTAAGCCCCTCAGGTAGTCAGGTCTATGTTTTGCTTAATCACTCGACTTTGATCTAGATGTTTTAGGTGTTTGTGGCCTTTTCTGGAGACATAGCGTGATCTATTAAATTGGGATAATTCTAATTCTGTATAACACATGTTTTATACCTGGCTGTTTTGTTTAACTGCTGTGGCTAGAACTAGCATTTAGCAGCTATTGCTTCAGTATGACCCACGGCCATAATTTTACGCTAGAAATTCTCCCTACAAACATATTTCATCAGAGCAACATTTATCTTGTTCAGCGAGCCCTGTAATATTTGTATTGGATAGGAAATTGTGAACAGTTTGATGGTCTGCTTTGCGGTACTGCCTGTACGGCGCATGAACAGCTGTAGCAATATAATCTACTTATCCACCTTCACATCAAAGATGTGCGAGTTGTCAATCTTTATGAAGCTGTGAAGTTACTTGTTAATTAATTATAGTTTTACATATATGAGTTAAGTTTTGAGAAAACACTGAAGTTACTAGATAAGGCTAATAAGCCGTGTGATTTGACTTATGGGTGATGAAAGCTATAAAGGTATCTGGAACCAATGTGAATAAAGTTCAGCAGCATACTTGAAAGTTATGAGTTAGTCACACTATTCTCCTACTGAACTGAAGTAAACATTTATATTCATAAAGACATCATAGGTTATGTGCATCCATACCAAAATTTCTTTGATTCTTTTGAACTTTTCAAGAGTAATCCCACATTTTTTTTCATTAACAGTTGGGGAATAGTCATTTAAAGGTTCAACTATATCCGAAGTATCATGTGTTCCTTTTTTAACATTTATTTTATGGTGATTAATTCATTTTATTTATTTTTTTCTGTTAGCAAGGCAATTGGAAGAGTCCGGGGTTCTAAATGGGGCCCTTAAAGCTCGAGGAAATTCATGGGGCTTGCACATGCCACTTGTGTGCCCAGATGGTGCTGTTGTGGCCTATGCTTGGAAGCGTCAATTGGCAGGCCAAGCTGGTGCATCAGCTGTTGACAGAACTAGGTGAAATTCATTACTTCCATGATGTTTGCCTTACTCTTGATTTGCTATTGATGTGCAGCATTTTTTTCCGGGAAAATGTAGAAAAACGTCTGTCTCAATGTGTTCAGATTAAAAGAAGTATATGTACAAGCCTTAAGAAACCCACTGGGAACACAATGTCTGTGGAACCAAGAATGAGGTTACGATGTCACCCGAACTGTACTTATACTTTGATAGTGTTTAATAGATGATGGACACCTGGTCTCTACGCACTTTTGTGTTGTTTCCACATCCACCAAGAGGTGAGCTGGATCAGCAATCATGTACCACCGGAGGTGATACCATAGATCTTATCTAGGAGAGTGGCATGCGACACTTTCACCAACCATCAGTGCGCTAAAAGATAAAGAAATGTAAGAGTGTTTAGATCACTACTTTAGTGATCTAAATGCTCTTATATTTCTTTACAGGGGGAGTAACTGACAAGCCCACCTTGATGCTAGGCGACGCCCTGTCACCTAGCCAGTTTATCCCACCCAGGTGGGCCCCTAGCCTGCTTGCCTATTCAGCAATTAGGTGCTAGGCACTGTTTTACAGACCGACTAGCGCCTAACGCCTTGGTGAACATGGCCAACCATACAATCAATTGAATGTATATTCAATGTTTTTTGTATAGTGTTACTCTCTAAAATACGATGATAATTTCTGGATCTCTCACTCCCTCCCTCCCTCTATATGTGGTTATGCGCGCACTGATTTATGCCTAAATGGAGAAATTGCTCTCCCGATGTTATTTCTTACTTTTTTCATGCATACAATTTCTAAGTGCTATATACCTAAAAACTTGGGAGGAAGCTTTTGGTTTGGGATTCATCTTGTTTCAATGTTGTTTTCAGGTTAGCTCTCAAGGCCTTCACTGACCAGAAAAGAAGATTCTTTCCTCATCTAGAAGACGAAGTTCTTAACCATCTCCATGATGGTGAATCTGGTATTGCTAAAAGGCCAAGGATGCCTGCGGGCAATGGAGAGCTGGAAGAAAAAACTTTGTCCGAGATACTTAAGAATCTAGAAAATGAAGTACCCAACATGAAAATATCCACGTATCGTCGTTTAGATTGGTCAAAAAGAGCTTCAGCATTAGCATCTCTGATGGATGATGACTTTGTGGATCCATCTAAGGAGTTGAACCTGCAAAATATGGGAAAATCGAGACCTGGTTCTGTGACGACTCCGATAGATCAGGTTGCAGTAATTGAGTTGCTGGTTCCTTCAATATTTAGAGTTGTAGTGTCATTGCATCCTGCAGGATCTGTTGATCCTGATGCTGTGGCATTCTTCTCTCCAACTGAGGTAAGAATGTCTTCCAAAAGCTGACTTCATTCATGATTCATCACAATTTTGAACTTTGCATAAGCAGACAAGCACTGGTGCAAAAAGTGTGTGTTCGCTACCGTCTCCAGTCCAGAAATAACTTATGTATTGGACTTGGACAGAGTCTTAAGATATAACTTTAACCACAAACTTTTACTATAGTACAGGCATAAAACCCAAGAAAGATGTAATATTTTGGAAATACTTTCCGAGACAAATATGTACATATTATTTTTCAAGTTTCCGATATATGTTAAATGGTTTGGCAGTCAAAGTTATAAATTTTTGACCGAAGGTATGTCCAAAACACCGCTTCTTTGTGAACTGGAACGAGTACCCAATACCATATAAGTAGTTGCTTATGTAGCAAGATCACTTTCTGTGTCTTAGCATGTTCCCATTGATACACTTAATAGGCAAAGTGAGCATTCTTGTTGATAATGAGTGGGCAAGATATTATTTCTGACAGATGCAGTTATCCTCTGTTAGGGAGGAAGCTACCTTCATGCGAGAGGCTTGTCGGTGCATCACGTCTTTAAGCATGTGACGGTAAATGCTTCTTTTATGATCTTTGAGCTGATTATTTGTTCCCATAAGAGGCATTCGAATTGAAGCATGGGTGTACTGTTGTGATTATGTAGGAGCATGCTGACAAGGCATTGCAGTACTTCATCAGTGTGGAACCCAGTAAAGCACTTTCTATTTTATTGGTGAGTTGCAGCAAATTTTAGTCATTGAGATAAATATACTGCACGGCAGTAATCCAGTTATTACCAAAACTTATCGCTAGAAATCCATTGCAACAATTCTACCTTGCTTGTGTTTAAGTACTAACAGATGCAAACCTTTTGCAGCGTTGGATTGCTGATTATCAGACTCTATTTACAAAACTTTGCAGGTAATCCTCCTTAGATATGCAACTTGATTTGCATCATATCATCATCAACCATTTCTCCTGTACAGACAAGTAACACTGCATTATTTGTCATGCAGTAAATGCCGACGGCTTCTGCTCATGGACAAGTCTTTGGCTTTGCTTCTACCCCCAGTTCATCGCCCCTACCACCAGATCTCGAGCATTGGTTCAGATCATCAGGAAGCCTATCACATTGGATGTTCTTCCTATGATGCCTGACGCTTCTACGCACTCTGGACTTCTAGCTAGGATGTTTCTAACACCATCACCCGACTGTATCTGTGCTATACCAGCCTAATCTGTAGGACGATGAAAATGTTGAAGTGAATTTTTAAGAACTAAAGGCTTGGTGATCGAGGAGTTACTCTGTTTACATTTTCACCTTACCTGTGTAAAACCTGTGTATCTCATGAGCAGAAATTGTGGTAAACAGATGTTGCAAATTTTGATAATTGTTATGTACTGAGCTTTAACTGCTCTGTGAAACTATGCGGGCATACATTGTTGATTTGTTTGTCGCTGCCTGAGAAATAATTATAAAATATTATGCATATGTATACAAGAAACTTCAAATTGGCGGATTACATGTACCGTGAAACACTGGAATAATTATCTGGAAAAAAGGAGTAACTGTGCTTGACATCTCAAACTGTTTATTCATATTTCTATATATAGTCTTCATCAGTAGCAATGTTAAATTGTTACAACCTGCACCGAAATAATAGGAGTGGCAAACCAGGTGATTGTACTCCTGACTTAACCTAATTACATTGTTATAGATAACCAGTTTGTCAAATATTTACAGTACACACCTCTCAAGTAAGTTCTCATGAAAGCTCTTTGCAAGCTCCACTGCAGGTTAGTGGCTATTCAAAAAGCTCTCCTTGGGTGTTTCCCCATATCGCAAAGTTATACTATTATGTACAAATTTTACTACAGGACAAGCTGTGTTGCCAAAATGTATTAGATAGGCAACAGCCATCAGTTCAAGAGCTCTCCTGGAACGACTGCGACCGAGAAAACGCTGCGGGGTTCGCCTGTAAAGCACGGGCAGGGCGTGCATCTGCTGGCTGGCCCTTGCTCTCACCCTTGAACTGGAAAGGCTTGAAGACGCCAGGGTCTCCAGGTTTGATGCCAAGAGTTGCCCATATGGAACTCTTCGCTGCCTCATCGGGGTCATCGATGCGGAGCGTCTTGGGAACCCATAGTGATTTCTCCTCCTTGTCATCTTTCTGTGGATTGGGGTCCCTGGAATGCTTCCCCAGAGTAGGAGACCCATTGCCTGAACAGCTGCTGTTGCTTGACCCAGACGGCGATATGCACCCGTTGGTCCCGACCCATGGTGTGTTCCATGCCGCGGCTGGCCAGCTTGGTAAGCAACCCCAGAGTGCAGGTGGAACAATAGGATATGGAAACGGGGGTGCAGGAAGCCTTGAGCCTGGCATCATGGGAGAGTTCATCCATGGCGCCGAACTAGTGCTGCAGCTTTCTGATGGAGAAGCAGACTCGGGCATACTTCCACCCGGCACCATTACAGGAAGGTTGTTCCACCCCATGCTCCATGGGTACATGAAAGGAGGTCCAAGGTAATACTGAGGCACCGGACCAACCCCATTACAGTAAACAGGCGCTCCGTTCTGACCAGGCGGGACTGCGTTTGCAGGTAACCCATTGTTTGATGTGGTAGTCGATGCGCACGAGTTACCTTCCCTGGTTTCATCTCTTGGTACAGATCCAGCATTGGTCACATTCTGCTCTTCAATGTTCAGCACCGATACCATCGATTCACAAAGTGGCACCTCAGGCCCAAACTTGAGAACTGTTTCATTTCTACTGGCTGATTGTGTCGGGATGGAAGGTAGAGATGCAAGGACTTCTGGGTTCACTGTGTCAGAGATGTCTACTCTAGACCCCAGCAGACAATCAGGGGCCATCAACAACTGACGGTAGTGCAGCGCTGAATTCTTGCTTTTGCGCCTCCCAGCACCGACAGGTACATTCCTCATACTCCCCCCTGCAGTCCAATACCTTTGGCAATTCTTACAGAAGTGCCTTGGTTGATTAACATTGTAGTTGTTGTAATAGCAGAACTTTGTATCCATGCTGTTGCACCGAGGGCAAGGTATAATTTTATCTGGCTTCTTGAGCACCTTATCCTGGCCTGATTCGTCATTTGATTTCTTCTCATTCTCCTCCTTCGGGTCTGATGCCACCTTCTCTTCAGCATTGCTTATCTGGGCCTGGTCGTCTTTCTTATGGTCCAAGGTAGATGAACTGGCTGTTTCTGCATTTTGCTTGGCTTGTGGTGCATCAACCTCCATTTCGTCATCTTTTCTCTCCCTTAGTTCATCACCTTTCATTCCACCATCTTCTTTCTCTTCTGGAGCGTCCACCTTCATTTCACTATCGCCTTTGTCTTTTGTTTCTTTGTGTTGTTCCTATAAAATTGCAACACGAGGTACTGTTAAAAGAGTACTTCAACTCAAACAAAACAGAAGTTACTATATTTAACATCTTGCAGAGGTGAGAACATTATGTTTCTGCAGATGCACCAATAGGTCAAAAACATGATCATAAATCAAATCAACTATAGTCTTCATAGGGGACAATATTGGCTAACAAAAGATCCGAGATATTGCCATATTGGTTATGTTACCACTCCACACATAGAAAACTTGGAAGCATTGCGTCCTCAAATACTAACCAAAACTAGCATAGCATGCGTTTTAACCACGGTAAGACAGCGTTAAGAAAACCGCAGAAATTCATCACGGGGTTCAAGTTCGGCTGCTTGAACACAAAATCGAAATTCGATCAGCTTAGCGCAGCGGCAATAGACACTTGTAAGTTGGGCCAAAAAAGAGCAAATAAAAGATGTACTGTACGACATATGGTGACATATGATATGACATACGATTTTGCGTGCCCTGCTTTAACAAGATAAAGGTATTCTGGGTCAGGTGTTCAAAACAGAAGCCCCCCCAGGTGACCACTCGTGAACAAATGAAGATGAGAAGCCCCTTGAAGGACCACCGCATGCTCAAAACAAGCTGAATTCTGCATGGATGGCTTACTCTGCACTCCTAATAACCACTTCTGAGGAAGCAGCATGACAACACCCTACCAACTCTGTTGTGTCCTCACCCAGCCATCTATATGTAGGCAACATGTGGTATGTCTTCTTCTGTTCATGCACCAAATGGAAGTGATAACTAACTTTTCAATTTACTCCAGTTATGGTAATAATTCCGTGTTCAACTTCATTTTGTCTAACGAAATAAGGTGTAACAAAAATGAGAAGAAGAGGAAAGGCAAATGATATACAAAAATGGTTTGCTGGTTCCCAGGCGACCGAGAAATTACTATTTCTAAGCTACTTCAAAACAAATGTTCGATTGGGTCATCAAGATTTGTTCAAGTACAAAACTATGACAGTAGTATCTTGATCGGAAGGCTATTACCGTTGACTCAGAGATTAGTAACTCCGAGGAGCCCCATACAGTATAATATAAAAATGAATAGACGATTATTAATCCCCATTAATCAGCATCTCGCTCACAGCATGGTAGTACAATTATTGTTGTACCTCCGGACCCCACAGCTAGGAGACCTTTCGCTGCAGCTTTTTTGGAAACAAAGATAGAGCCCAAATAGGAGAAACCGACGTCCAACTGTGCCTGGCCAAAGAGATTACCCCTCCTGTACTTTTGGACCTATCCATTCTGAGATCCAGACGAAACCCGGTCTATTTTATCATCCTGCGGGTCACCTGATCAGCATGACATCCTCGCCGTTTATCTAAACCTCGAGTCCACTCTATAAAATTCTAAACCTCGAATCCACCCACCCTCGTTCTCCAATTCGATCGCCGGATTCTAAACATTTTGTAGTAATTTTTATTTTTATTACAAGTAAGTATTTTGCAATATGCAGACTCTAAACATGATGGGATGAAGGTGCGCCTCCTTGATTTCGCACGGAAACCGAGGAACATGCATATTGAAATTGTCGATCAAACAAAAGCCCTCCTTGAGCTAACCTTATTATTATCAGCCTCTGCCTCGGCCTCTGACTCCTGCGGCGGCGGCGGCGGTGGGTGCTCGGAGCCGGCCGTCGCCTCCGCTTCCGGCGGCCCGGGCGCAGCGTCAGGAACCAACGGGATCACCCGCCCGAAGAGCTTTATGCCAGAATCCATCTGATCCGACATCGTCGATCCCACCCGCGGACCCGGCAAGGATCGATCGCGGGCTGCCGCTGCCTCTGCTATTGCCACTGCAAGTTGAGCGAAGTTGCGAGAGAGCAAACACCGAGCTGGTGGAGGGAGAGATGAGGGGAAGGGGGGCTAATGGATATAGCTGCTACTCTACATGGGGAATATGGGATTGAAGTATCAAGCCGAAGGGGCAAAAATAAAAGGTACTAGGGTGAATTTCACACTGGGGACTTCTTTTATTAAGAAATGGGTTTAATGCACGCGTGTCCTCTACCAGTATAATAATTGCACAAGCATCCCAGTGAAATGATGCTAGTAAGTAGTATTCCCAGTACACCAGTAATTCATGGGTCCTTTTTTTACCTAAAAAAATCATGGGATGTTTTGCGAATGGATACATTTACGGCAATAACATAGGAACTTTGCTTCGGTATATTATCCCATAAAAGTTAAACGATTTTGATGAGATTAAATATGGAGATTAGAAGGTATTGTACCATTTAATGAAAAAGGATAATATAGTCTCAGGCTAGTAGTAACATCACTAGTAACATCACACTTTTCAAGATAATTTTGCTTATGTGGTGCACATATTTAATGATGAGAGAGGTGATGGTGGTAACTTAGTTAGTTACTGTAATATCACACATACCAAGACAATATGAGTCTATAGGCTAATAAATGACGAATAATCACGAGTGGACATGGTGCTACGCGCGGTCAGTATCAGGCCCGCTCATTCCCATGTGATTCGTGCAGTCCAAATACGAGTAGCATGTATACTGAGATTGATGTGTTGTATACTACAAAGCATTCTGCATTCATATTACCTACGCCCTCGCCAAGAGATGGCCCACAAGGCAGGGTCAGGCATTCAAACGAGCAGTGCATTTGAGCATACGTCAATTAAGTCGGGCCTGCAAGACCAGGACCCCCTCAGCTGCAGCTCATTAAGTCACCCAGGAAGTTTTTATGGAAACAGTTCAGGGCCTTTTATGTTTGACATCACCCAGCGGAAACCCCTTGGGTTAGTTGGACTGGCTAGAGACTAGAGTAACTTCTCATTAAACAAGCTTGACTAAATATTCTGACATAAACATTTATCGTCTCTCAATACAATGTACTGCAAGTGTTAGCCAATATTACCGATGATCAATGGAAACCATCCTTCTATTGGTCAGTTCGATTCCTTAAGCCACTTTTTTTCTTCCAAAAACCATATGACGGTGATCTTTTGAACAACCTGACACACATTTTTGGGTAGCTTAGAACAAGACTAATTTAGGATACATTTCAAACATGTTTAAATTCACTTATTTCGCTCAACCTATTTCAGTGTAACTGCTTAGAACAACACTTACAAGTGAAATCTGATTTTGATTGCAGCGACCTTATTTTTTTGAAATGAGCGAAACATGTTTTCTTGAGTAGTTGAAGTTTATTTTAGTAAAATTATTTTTTTAGAAGAGCGGATTTTTTTAAATGAGTGCACGGGTACCGGTACATAGCGAATATTTTCAATCTTCCTTTTGAAACGAGTGAAATAAAATAGTGCATTATCTTGTTTTAGATGAGTGAAATCACTGTATTTTGAATATGATTGAAATTATTCATTTTCAATTGACTGAAACGAGTGCAATCTATTTTGTGAAAAGAGTGAAATCATTTTTGTTGAAAATAATTGAAATTATTAGTTTGAATTGAGTCAAACAAGTGGAATCTAATTTTGTAAAGGAGTGTGGAATAAACAAGTGAAATATGTTGTTCTAAACGAATGAAATCATTCTTTTCAAAAATCATTGAAATTATTCATTTGAATTGAGTGAAATGAGTGGAATCTGTATTTTGAAATGAGTGAAGTATGGAGTATGTTGTTTTAAACGAGTGTAATTGTTTTTAAATGATTGAAAACATTTGTTTGAATCAGGTGAAATGAGTGGAATGGGAGCGGCGTTTTGGCTCTTGGGTGCATCTGCAATGCGGGTGAATAGTAAAATAATTAAAAATAGTAAAAGAAAATGAATATTTCTTGTGATGCCAGATGCTTGTATTCGTGAAGTCCGTGCTAAATTTCGTGTAGTTCAGACGTTTTAGTAGCTGTCGCAAAAGAGACAAATTTCGTATCTATGAGAAATATTTGAAAACAACACTGTTCGAAGCTCACTTTGTCTTTTTTGCCATGAGCTCCTGGAATATAATTTAGCCATGAAATTTTGCATTAATTGGCGCACTCAAGCATCTTAGATAAAAAAATCAGCTTTTTTGAATTTTTTTATTTTATTTTTACTATTCACCGGGTGCAGATGGGCCTGACCCCGAATTGAATATCAGAGTGGCATCTATTTTTCTTAAAGGAGTGAAATAAATGAATGAAGTACATCATTCTAAATAAATAATTGAAAACATTTGTTTGAATCGAGTGAACGAGTGGAGTCTGTTTTTTTAACGAGCGAAATATGTTGTTCCAAACGAATGAAATTTTTTTCCTTTGAAAATAATTGTGATTATTTGTTTGAGTTAAGTGAAGTGAGCGTAATCTGTTTTTTCAAAGAGTGGGGTGTATTTTAAATGAGTGCAATAGTTATTTTTGAAAATCAGGTTAGGGCCGTTTCCAGGGTGGTTAATCTTTCAGCACTTGTTGTTCGCTGGTCAGGCATCTGCTTTGCTTTTCCTGCACTAATCGAGCAAAAGAAGGAATGTGAGACCGGGCTGGAAAATTCTAACACATGAGATGTAAACAGGCATCTCCCACGTTCCACTTAAGCATCCAGATCCATAAGTTGCCCAAAAAATTGTCGACATGCTAGGGGTTGAGGCAACAGAGAGATGATTATAGGTGGGCTCATTGAATCGTACCCAAAAGAAACCGAAAACCACAGATCAAGTATAGCTTTAACCGGCTAACCTGTTAAACTCCGTTTCTGCAAAAGCCATCACAGGAGTGGGCCAGATGCTATTAATGCTCGTACGAATACATGCTCATCTCGTAGCAGCCCTCGTCACAGGGGATGGCATAACGGATCTTGATGGTGGGCAGACATCATTAAGCATGCCCCTCGCTCCAAGCCTTGCCCTGTGGAAAAGCAGATGGAGAAGAGGAGATGTATAACGCTACGTATTCAAGTGCGTCCGTGATCAACGCGTCAGGTATTACAAATGGGCCTATATTAAGTAGCCATCTTGATGCGCAGCGGGACATCTCAGATTACGGCATCGCGTAGCTGCATGTCCCAAAAATTCACATCTAATAAATGAACCATAACATGACAACACACATATGTTACTACCCATTGTGAAGGTAGTAACTTAGCCTAGTAAAATATGATGTTACTAGTTTAAGTTACTCCCCATTATGGCTAGTCTAATAGTGGGAGTAACTGTACTCCCTCTGTTTTTAGTTAGTCCGCATATTAGCTTTGGTCAAAGTCAAGCTTTGTAAACTTTGACTAAGTTTATAAACAAAAATATTAACATATACAATAAAAGATCAATACCACTAGATTCATTATTGAATGTACTTTCACATCATATAGATTTGTTATGGTAAATGTTTATATATTTTTCTATAAACTTGGTCAAACTTTGCAAAGTTTGACTTCGGTCAAATCTAATATGCAGACTAAATAAAAATGAAGGGAGCAGTAATATAGCGCAGTTCAAGAAAATTTTGCTTATGTGACATGTAGTTAATAAGGAGAGAGGTGTTTAGAGAAACATAATATGTTACTGTAACATAGCGTTTCCCAAGAAAGGATGAGTCTACAAGCTAATAAATGAAACCATCTATAACACTACTACTCCCTCCTTTTCGATTTATAAGGCTTATCTCAAAATTTTAGTTTTTCCATTTTATAAGGCTCAATTGGTTGTTCCCCATCACATGTTCAGACTTCAAGGTGCATTAAATCATTGCATGCAAGTATTAAGAGAAAACTGGCCAATGCGTGCACTTTATGCATGCATGCATTGCAATTAATGCATTTGTAAACACATTTTTTTGACGAAAATAAGAGCATTAATTGAGTGCTTTTGCAAACTATAAAAAATATTCTACCACTCATCATCTCCTTTGGTTGGTAAGATTTTTGAATTGAGCCTTATAAACCGGAAAGAAGGGAGTACTATGTTACTTTGCACTATAAAAATAGTAATTTAGACTAGTGTTATATGTATGCGAAAATGCATAGGCGCATCTGCGGGCTCATCCTCCCTATATCTCACCATTGAGTAAGCATAGGGATCTGTACCGCTATATTAGTCTGCGTGTATTTCTCAAATTTAATTAAACGTATGCTTTCTTTTAGGAGAGGTATTTTTCTATAATCTTACTTATCCCTGACAAAGAATAAATACATCAACGTGTGAACACATTTACATGTGAACGATTGCACACTTGGGCTGGACATCTGACAATGCCCCACATGCATGTAAATTTTAAGAGCTCTACGTTTTGAATCATATAAACACATCTAATAAATGCAGCTTGTGGAGTACCAAGTTCCTAGGAAATTTCTTTCAATGCTAATTCCTAGACAATTGTGTAGGTAAATCCGAGAGATTTTTCAACATATTTCATATTGTTTTTTTTTCTTAAGTGAAAAACTGAGAACTTCATGATAATAGTTCTAGAAACTTATTCATAATAATCCCAGTTTTTTTTGAAAATCTGAGGAATTATTCTCTTCTGGAAAGCTGAGGATTTAATAATAAAATTCTAAGAAAGGTGCAATTAATCGTCAAAATCAAAACAAATGTATCCCGTCACATAGACACAAACGAAATTGCTACATGCCATCGGTGGAAGAGAAAGTTTCTTTCTTTACATTTTTACAGTGCTTCATCATGGTTCTTTTTATTAAATGGACGTGTACGAAAAGTCTTTGCCATTCATTGCTTGGTTGAAATCTTTGCTATGTTTGTCAGGCACAGTACCTCAAATTGAATGACTATGGAGAGCATCTACTGCTGCCATATACACAAGCACGATGTATTGC